CGCGCCGGGCCGGGCCGCAGGGGGCGGTGATTGGCTGCGTGGCGCCGGTCGCGTCGCGCGTCAGCTCGAGGCTCGCCCCAATATGTCTCGGTAACGGAACAACCCCGCCGTTCGGCCCCGCTCGTCTCTTGCGGGAAAGGAATCTGTCTCGCCCCAAAGTCCCATCGCGCCACCGTTGCCTGGGTGAGCCCTCATTGATTGACGCTCCAATCAGTTAAGTTTTGTCTTTGCGACTGCGGACGGTGCGTGGCGATCCCGCTCTCTGAAAGCGCTTCCTGGCCTTAGGCGGAGCAGGCTCGGAGCAGGCGGGTCGCACCAATATGCCCTGCGCTTGGTAGCTGACTCTGACCCCGGCGGAGCCACACGTGTCCGACAGGCCCTGCTGGCTGTCCAGCCGGATGCCCTGCGGCCTGGTTGCCGTGTCGAGCTCTGCAGCTGGAGTCCTGCTGCTGCTAGAGGTGTCCTCTCCGAATGGAGCAAGGTGCTGGCGGCGCTCTGAATGCCAATGAGCTCCCCGTCAGAAACACGCCCCGCCCCCTCCCCCTTTCTTTCCTATTTCCCTTATCTAGCCCCTATCCACACCTAGCCTCCTCCACCCCTTGCCAACCCCCCTCCTAAACATGGGTCCTCCGCTATAGATATGGGCCGCGTGGCATGGGGCTGACACCGAGGTCAGCTCAGCCCACTTGCGCGTGCACTAATCGAGAGGGAGAGAGAGGGGGGGGGGTGAGTAGGGAGTTTAGCTCTCAAAATTAGTGACTAACCCCTGTCGTTCAGCTGTGCTGAACAGCTCTACGCCAACTCTCCTGACGGCCGTTTATGAGGGAGCTTGACTCCTCTCTAAATGGCTCGATGTCGCCACACACCGGCGACCTCGCCACTGCTCGCACACGTTGCGGCAACAGTTTCAAAGGGCCTCGGCTGGGTGGCGTGCTCCCCCCCGGCCCGCTGGCGTCGTGAGCGCCCGCCCAGTTTGTGCTCTGCTCCACGCGTAAAGGCTGCGACCGATATGGCCGGCCTGGGCAGCGCGCGGGGGCCGTAAAAGGCAAAAATGTTTACTGCGACCAGCTGTTTGCAGAGTTGGCGGAAGTGGCGCGGCGGAGACTTTGGTCCGCCTCCTGCACATTGTCGCACCCAGCATCCCCAGCTCCACCGGCTCCGCGGAGCGAGACCAAATAATGCGACTGCGCGGGACAAAACGGCGCTACCTGTTAGGAGTGCGTTACCGTATCACTTCCGCGACATTTGGCAGAAGAGTGAACCGGTTGTGTGCGTGTGAGAGAGAGAGTAAGAGAGAGAGAGAGAGAGAGAGAGAGAGAGAGAGTAGCGCGTGGGCGGCGCGCTTGCGCTTGGATGCACACACAGGCAGACGTGTGTGTAGGCTCGCCTGGGCGACACACGTGTAGTGCGTGTGGCCTACCCTGTACTTGGTGGGCGCGCTCCTCGGTAGAGCTCTAGGGGGAGGGAGTGAGAGAGAGAGAGAGAGAGAGAGAGAAGGAGGGAGAGAAGGAGAGAGAGAAGGAGAGAGTGGAGGCGACAGAGATCATAGTATTCCATCGCCCGTGCACGCTATTTAGACGCTCACAAAGTTTCCGGAGGTTGTGTGTGTGCGCGTGCGTGCGTGCGTGCACGTGCTGAGTGCCCCATGATGCGTAAAGAGGCTCGTGGCTGCGAGGCCGTGGCGCGCGCGCGAAGGTATCACCAAGATGGCTTGTGAAACATGGCGACTGAAAGTTTGGACGCGCCGAGGGTGGCGTGGCGTAGCGTGGAGGGGCCTCGAAGCGCGCGACGGGGCGCAGTATGAGTTCAATGGGTGGACTTGAAACTTGCGCCGCGCTCGTGTATCCGCAGCAACTCGCCATGCGTGGCAGGGAGACGTAGGGGGCGAGGGCGGAAGGCTTTCTGCGGGGTTGGAAACCTTACCAGCGCTGGTGTCGAGGCAAGGGGGAGGGGGGGGGAGGGGGGTCAGCAGCAGGGGTTCTCAAATTGGCAGTGCGAGGGCCAGGGCAGGCGGGCCGGGCGCGAGGGGACAGGCCTCTGCGGTTCCCACGGGCCTAGTGAAGGGATCGACTCACATAATGAAGGGTATTCCTACGCACAGGGGGCGGGTCACGAAATAATTTGGTCCAGCCGTGGATTTAATTATGGGCTGGACGGGCAGAAAGGTAGATGGCAGGCGAAAACAACAACAGAAGTCGAGAGCTGTCGTCGTTGGCTCGGCGAGTGGTGACGCACGTATGGCTGCCGTCTTGTTCTGAAAAATGGAAAGGGAAGATTGAGCACGGCCAGGAAGCGAAGAGATGAGGATTGGGGGAGGGGACCGCTCCGCTCCCCATCCCCCATCCCCTCGGCTCTCCTCCTGTCTCTCTCGTTCGTCCCCAAGCTGGCGTAGTTGCGTTGCAGTGTCACCGTCCAACATAGAAACTGTCATGGTTGTACTCTCAGTTAATGCGATCACTGGAAAAATTCTGAGTTTACCACACGGAGAAAAAAGTTTTGTAACTAAATTAGTGTTTAGTCTGACCCCTCAGTCACACCCGTTAGACGTTTCAAATCGGCACCCTGCACCCCTAATTTCTTCCACTCTTTACCATGGAAATGAGGAAGGGGGGGAGGGGGGCTGGGAGGCGTAGGGGTTGGTGGGTTCTTCCTGTTGCACCCTACTTCTGCCCAGAACTCTCGCCTTTCGGACGGTCATTTGCACCCCCCTTCCTCTCGCCACCCTCACCACGCGCCCCGCCGCCGCATGCGATTCCTTTGGTACGGCAGCTCAGCCGGGGCCACGGCCCGACAGAAAATCGCGTTTTGATGGGCGGGGCTCTTAAACCAAGATTGCGGCGAGGCCGGCCTAATCAGTTTGATTGAAATTTAAGGACTTGGGCGATTTATAGTGGCAGCGCTACGCCACACCGTGAGGCAGCGGGTGGGCCGATTTTTATAGCAATCCTGCCCTGCGGGGAAAACGAGGCAAACTTTTTTTCGGTGATCTGCATCGTCGAACCTGACGATAACAAGGCCAGCCGTAGGAAAGGGGAAAAAAACAGTGGGTTTTTGTCTATTTTTTTGCTGTAAAATATTTTTTTCATTTTTTTTTATTTTGTTTTGCTTGATATTTTGTCGGCAGACCGAAGGGCGGTGGCCTTGACTGTGTTTGTGCCCCGGGGGCCGCGGAACCACAATCGGAAGCTGGTCGGCGGGGAGGGGCGCGGAGGGATGCGCCCGCCGCTGTACAACACACGCGTACACGGCGCGCCTCCCGTGCGCCGCTGCCCCGCCCGCCCCTCGGGACCGCTGCTCTGTAATTATTGTGCTTCCCGTGATGAATTTATTCCGGATGAGCCCGTAAAACACACGCAGCATCTGTTGCGTGTTTGTCGGCTCCCCCTCCTCTCCATCCCCTCTTCCTCCTCCCCCTGCTGGCAGCCTCATTGTGCTGCTCGCTGTTGTGCTGCGGACTCGCCTGCAGGTATCGGTTTAGCGCGCAACGCCTCGGTAGTGCGAGCTGCGGTTCGAGTAGTTTGTCCGAGCGGTTAACGTCTGCCCACTGAGCAGCTTTATCGGCTGCGTCGTCTTCGCGGTATAATACGACTTGTTTCCTAGTTTTTAGCTCAAAAATCAGTGAGACGAACTATTCGTCATCGATTTCACTACCCACGCTGGCACGGGAGAGGAAGGTAGTTGGTAGTTGAAACCTGAAAAGTGAAATCCGGAACTGCAGAAAAGGACAATAATTATCAAAAATCACAATGGACCCAAAGAAAAGGTTCTTCATTGTGTCGTACCTGATGTTTCCCTCTCCTTTAAATGATAGTAAAATGTTAGCAACGACTTGGAAAGAAGACGTTTTGCGACACGTGTGCTTCTTCTCTGCGGCTCTCTGCTGCTCGCTCTCTAATGGCGATGAGGTGCGGGCGCCTCACACCTGGCCGCGCGCCCCACCGCGCCCCAGGCCACCCTCCACTTCTTTTATCACGCCCTCCGAGTCGGGGCTGGAGAGGAAGGTTTCTTTTGAGATGGAAATCAAGAGTGCGGAAGGGTAAGCGGCCGCGTCAGGCGTAACGGCCCCGGAGATTCACTCGGTTTGCCGAATCTGACGATGATTTCTCGCGGAGGGAAAAATCCACGCAGAGAAATGAGCCGCGACGTGCTGGCATGATGTGATGCTGATGGACGGAACGAGATTCCGCACGGAAAAGTGTCCGTCAAAATCTTCGCGTAGCTGGCAGCCACCAGAAGTTTTTCTGTTTGTGCCTTTCGCTTGCTTACCGGTTTTCATTTATTTGTATGGACTTGTCTGTCTGTTTCAGAGCATGGGCTGGGCGGGACGTGGCTAGACGCTCGGCCATGAGGCGGGGCTGCGGGGCCATGGGCGGGGCGCCCGTCGCCTCGCTCTACGCCCTGCTGGCCTTCATGGCGCTGCTCGCGTCGGCAGGTGAGTCCAGTGCGCACCCCGCCGCGGGGAAGGGAGGAAGAGCGCGGGGGACGCACCCACCCCCTCCTCCTTCCAGAACCCTCCGCTGAGCACGGGGCAAAAAGGCGACTGAGCAAGAATGAGAGACAAACTTGCCATGGTAATCGGATTAAGGCGGGTCCAGATGTGACTCTTTCAGCAGCAGCCGGCAGACGAGCAGGCCGGGCTGGGCGGGAAGAAACCGTTTTGAGTCGCAAAAAGCCAAGGCGGGCTGCTGAGGCGCACGGCCGCTGAGCAGTCTTTGGTCGCAGCCGCCCGCTGAGGTGGGGGGACCGCCCCAGCAGACAGCAGCCTACCCTCTAAATTTCATATCGACTTTAATGGCGCTTCAAACTGTTGTTCAAATCTTCAAAAGGGGTAACAGAGTGACATACCTACAATTTTGATAAGCCTTATGAAAAAGCGTAAACGTTTCCGATTCAAATAATTAAAATGATTCGGATGGAAATTCGTACACGCCACATGCATATTTGAGATTAAAAAAAACACCTTTTTCGGGACAGAAACAAGTGGTGGTACCACAATGTAGGCGCATCGCAGTGGGGCTGTGCTTCTTCGTTAGATATCACGAAGCCTGTTACGCAAACATGGTCTTGCAAACGTAGAGCTAGCACTCTTGCACACTCAGTTTTGTGGCTTCAGACGCTCGTTGGCAGTTGGCGCTTAAAGGCCACTGTACTGTGCATCGCTGTTGGTGCGTCTGAAGCCACAATACTGAGCGTGGGTCCTTGCTTCCAGCACCTGAAGACCTGAAGCCATGGCAGGTTGTGCACACCAGCTTGCTGTTGGTTGCCGCTATTCTTGCCATTGTCAGCGGCAGCTCAACCGTGTCTATCGACACTGTAAAATCAAGTGTCAGATTGCTATGCTTTATAGAGTGTTGCCCCCTCGAGCCAATGTGAAGCACTTTGGTGCTCTACACACTTTAGCTCATGTGGGGCAGTAGTAAGTGTTCTACCTTAGTTAATGCAAAGCACCGTGCCCCACATTACCTGGAGTCTTTCACTCGATTTAACAGTTTATACGTGCCAAGTGATGGTTCCCTCCCCTGTACCAGTGCGGTCGGGGAGCTATGAGGCACGTTGCGGGGCGCGTCACGTTCGTGTCTGTCGCGCTGAGCTCGTTACGCGATGGCAACGCTAGTTAGCGGCGTGAAGGGCGCCTTCCTGGTCCCCGGCTAAGTGGTCCCGCGCGGCCCGCCGCAGCCAGCGCGGCCGGCCCGAGTCACGCGGTGCGGTGCGTGCTAAGGGGCCCCCGCCCGCCACGCCGTGTCAAGGCGCGACAGACTCTGTATGAATGAACGGCTGCCTCCTCTTTGGAGGGCCCTTCTTTTCGCGTTGCGAAGCCGAGTCGCTCACCAGTGC